GAGCACGGGCGCGCCGCCCGGCTGCGCGCTGCCCGCCGCGGGCACGGCCCCCCCGATGATGTTGTCTATGGAAAAAGAGGGCCGGGGGGGGTTGCCGGTGCTGTTGCCGTTGCCGCCGCCGCCGCCCGGCGTGGGGTCCGGCTTGAGGGTCTGGAGGAGAGCGGCGGGCAGCGCGGTGGGGCTCAGCTGGGGGGGGTAGAAGGATTTCCTGCAGTTCAGCTCGCCGCCCAGGAAAGAGGGCAGCCCCGAGGCGGCCGAGAAGACGGTGGCGGCGGCAGGCGGCGGAGCCGGTAACGGGCAGTGCGGAGGCTGGAAGGGGAAGGCGCCCGCGGCGCCGCCGCCGCCGGGGTGCTGGTGGTGGTGGTGGTGGTAGCCCTGGAGCTGCAGGCCGTAGTTGTAGCCGTAGGGTCCGTAGGCGAAGCCGGGCAGGAAGGCGGCGGGGTCGGCGGCCCCGGCGCGCAGCAGCAGCTCGGGGTGCGGCGGGTGCAGCTGCTGCTGCCGCTTGAAGCGCTTCCTCCGGCGCAGGAAGCTCCCGTTGTCGAACATGTCGGCGGACTCGGGGTCGAGCGTCCAGTAGTTGCCCTTGCCAGGGTTGCCCGGCTCGCGGGGGATCTTCACGAAGCAGTCGTTGAGAGAGAGGTTGTGGCGGATGCTGTTCTGCCAGGCGGGGAACTTCTCCCGGTAGTAGGGGAAGCGGCCGCTGATGAACTCGCAGATCTCACTCAGCGTCAGCCGCTTCTTGGGGCTCTGCAGGATGGCCATGGTGATGAGGGCGATGTAGGAGTAGGGCGGCTTCACGAGCGGGTTCTTGCCGCCGCCGCCGCCTGCGGGCGCCTTCTCGCCGGTGGCGGCGCCGCGGGCGCAGGCGGCCTCCGCGCCGCCGCCGGGGGAGAGGCGCTCCGGGGACCCCCCCATGCGCCCCTGGGCCGCCCCGCTCCGCGGCAGCCCCGCGAGCCCCAGCGGGTCGCCGCCGTCCTCCTCGTCGTCCTCGTCGTCGTCGTCCTCGTCGTCGTCCTCCTCCTCGTCCTCGCTGTACTTGCCCCCGTCCTGGGGCGGGCCCACCACGTCGATATCGGCGTCCTCCACCTCGGAGAGCGGCTCTTCCTCCGGGGAGCGCTCGGACATGATCCCGCAGCCGCCGCCGCCGCCGCTGCTGCCCAAAGTCATTGTTGTGCGGCCGCGGCGGCCGGGGCGGCCGGGACCGGGGCCGGGCTCCCCCCCCCACCTAGCGGCGGCGCCCGGGATGGTCCCGGGGCCGCGCCGGAGGCTGCGGCCGCCGCTGCCGCTCCGCGCGCCCCGCTCTCCGCGCCCCGCGGCCGCGCTGCGCGGTGGTGGCTGCGCAGGGAGGGGCGGCCGGGGGGAGGGGATGGAGCCGGGAGGAGGAGGAGGGATGGGACGCCCCGAGGCTGGGCAGGGAGCTGGGAAGCCGTAATAATAAATAATAATAATAATAGCGACAATCAAAAAGAAAGAAAGAAAAAAAGAAAAAGTGGGGGGTGCGGCGGCTCCTTGGCGGGACTGGGGGGGAGGGAGGGGCGTGGGTGAGAGGGAACGGGGAGGGAAGAAGTTGGGAAGGCGGCTCCCCGCTCCGCACCCCTCCCCGGGCCAGGACCCGCTGGAAACGCTCCCACTCTGCGCCTCCTGCGAGCGCTCCCCAGGCCTTTATAGTACAGCCCCGGCATCACGTGCCGCCCCCGAGCGGGGAGCAGCGAGGGGCTCCGGGCTCGGCTCCCCGGCAGCGCCGCTCGCCGCTGCACGGTGCCTGTCGAGGCTTTCGAGGAAAAGCGCCGCCTGAGCCCCGGGGTCTCTGCCCTAGGCGGGACGTTGCCGACTGCGGCTGTCCCGGAGCCGCCGCATGGTAGGGCCAGGAATGGGGGCGGGCGCTGGGTGAAGCCCCCCAGGCTTGCCTGGCCTGCCCTCTAAGACACCTGGGGGCCAGGAGCCGCCCGCTCTGCAGCAGCCGGATCGGGAGCTGGGGAGCTGCCCGGACTGGGCTCCCACGGGCCACCCGATGGGGCGGGGGGACGTGTGAATTTGGGGATCCCTCCTCCCCTTTTGCGCGCGCCCTCACGTCACGGACACGTCACGGATACGTCACCGAACGCGGAGCACCCTGTTTGCGAAGCCGCCTCCCTGAGGACTCCCGCCCCCCAGGGTCGGGATGCTGCAGTTCGGCAGGTGTTGGGAGGGAAGCGAGGAATGGACGTGCCAGGGTATCTCCCCGCACTTTACAAACCAGCCGAAGCGAAGGCTCTGTCCTAAGGGCTGCGCTGCCTCCGAGCACCGCGCTCCGGTTCGGCTCCGCAGCGCGGGGTGGCCCATTCCAGTGACGTCCCGTCGCCCTCATCCATCTCCGGAGGGAAAGGTCCTGAAAAGCAACAGCTCTTGAGCCCTCCAGTGTCTCGGAAAAGCCTTTGATTTTTTTCGCGACCAGAGCTCCTGCCGAGGAGCTTCTCGGTGGTCGCGGACAGCGCAGCCCCCGCTCCCTCGAGCCCCTGGGCTGCCTCTTGCTCGGCTGAAGACTCCCCCTCTCCTCGAGGCTGCAGCCCCTGTGTGTGTGTGTGTGTGTGTGTATTTTCCTGGGCGCAGGGATGCTCCCTGTGGTCCTGCAGCCAGGGAAATCCGCCCGCCCCCTGCCCCCGGCGGCGGAGCCGCCACTGTGGGGCTGGGGACAGAAGCACTGCCAGGGCCGCCTACCCTTCGCCCTGGGGTCTCTCCCTCAGTCTGATGTCCCTGTCTCTGCTGCCAGCGCGGCCGAGGCAGCTTGCACGAGAGGTCCTCGAGCAGGCTAAAGTGGCAAAGAGAGAGAGAGAGGGAAAAGACTTCGCTGCTTTCACTGGAGTCTCTATCTCTCTCTGCAGAGACGATGCCTGGGAAGGTAAGGGCGGTGGAAAACGCAGGTTACAGAGGTATTTCGGGTACCAGCCCTCTGTGAGGGGATGCAGCACCACAAGACTTGTCCTTCCCCAGCAGCAGCGTTGGCAAACGAGCACCGCGATCGGGCTCGCAGAGAGGAGTCCGAGCTCCCGCTTCGGGCTCTGCGCAGCTCCCCACGTCCGAAAGGGAAACCTGGAGTGGGCACCTTCCCGGCCTCCCTTCGTGCCCACTCCACTGGGAGGGCGGCGAGCTCGGGTCCCCCCTTGGCCTCTGCCTATCCAGCGGCATGGGGGCAGCAGGGACGGGGGGGGGGGGAGGGGGCTCCCTTCTCTTCGCCCAGGTAAGGAAAAGCCACTGAAGGTATAAGCTGCGAAGAGAAATTTCCCTCCTCCTTTTCCTTCTTAATAGCAAATAACTGGATTTTCTACTCTCGGCATTCGGGGGCGGGGGCTAGGGGGGATCCCAACGCCGGGCCCCATTCAGCAGTGTGAGAATCTGCAGTGATGAATTGCAAGTCGCTGCCGTTAACAGGTGCGAGCATTTGGTGATAAAATCTCCAGCACTAATACCGGGGAGCCGGGCCAAACAGCTGCACGGCCCCGCTTCCAAATAGCGATCACAATTATTCAAATCCTAACGACTTGGTACACAGGGCTCGCCACAATTAGGGAGATCCCGAGGAAAGAGCAGCGCTGCACGCCGGGCGCTTTGCCGGGACTTTTCAAGTTTAAATTGATATTAAACAGCTCCTCTGCGCTGCCTCGCTCGCATCCTCCGCGCTGTCTGACTGCGCTGCGAGCGGGGAGGGTTTCTCTTAACGAGGGAGAAGCGGATGGAGAAATTGTCCTAAGCGTTTCTCATGAAGGGGAGGGATTTGCCTGCGGGTGTATTAGGGCTGGGGGAGCCCTTTCACTTTTGCGCTCATTCAGTCCTTATAATGCACGTTTAGAACATATATGCCTGTTATGTATATGTGTGTATATATATATATATATCGTATGTATATATAATGTAAATTAATTCTCTCTCAACTAAAACAGCGCGATGCTTTGGAGACGCGACTTCTTTCCTACCCACTTTGTTTAACCCCCCTGTTAACGAGTTCCTTGGAAAGGCGATGGGAAGAACAAATGGAAGAGAGCGAGGAGGAAGAAAGGAGGGAAAATAAAAAGCCAATTTCCACTTTTATTAAGTAAAATAATAGTTATGCCTCCCTTGCATAAACGAAAGTGTCATAAAAAATTCCGAAGCAGCTGCCAGAGATTTCGACCACACACGCAACGCGCGATTGAATTTCCACTGTGTGCGTGGCGGGGCAGACAGGCACCGCCGGAGCCGCGCTCGGCCCGGGAGGGCGGACGGGCCGAACTGGGTCTCCCTCCGGGGGTCTCGGTCCTGCCTCTTCATCCTCGCACCCCTCCATTTGGAGCTCCGGCTTCCCGTTCCTTTGCAAGGAGAAAATCGTCGCCTTTGAGGTCGGCGACAGCCCGAAAGGAAGCGACAGGGAAGGGCTCCCTGTCCCGGCATCTGAGAGCGACTCCCGTCAGCTGAGCCGGTATCAGCTCCGGTTTTGTCCCGCGAGGTGGGCTGCAGGAACAAATCAAAACGAGAAAAAGTACCTCAAGTAGAGCCGGCCTGAGATGGTTTCGGAAAGGGAAACCCTGGGCTGAAGTAAAACAGATGGTGGGAACGCAGGCACGTATATACACATACACACATGCTCACGGCTGTACTCTCGGACCTTAAAAACACACATATATACGTGTGTGTGTGTATTAAATATATATATAATTGCAATATATGTATGTACGCAATTTGAAGGCTTATTTTTAACCAAGGATTTATAGGCTGTGCGAAGAACTGATGCCGTGCTCTGAAAAAGAAACCTATCGATCTATCCGCAAAAACTGGCTTGTCATCTTCCCGTTGCTCACAGCTGCAGAGGGGTGGGAGGGAAGCATTTTCCCTAGGCAAGTTTTTTCTTTTCTTTTTTTTTTTTTTTTTCTCGTTCTTCTGTACAAGGTATGTCTTTCTAGACAGCCTCCCCTTTCCATCTCCCGTTTGAAATCGTTTCTGCTTTATATCTGACGTTCCAGTTTTGTTATCAAAAAATGCTGTGGCTGAGAGCTCACCTGGAGAGAAGACTATCAAAAAAAAAAAAAAAAAAAAAAATTTTTTTTTTTTAAAAATAAAAAATAAAAATGAAAGCCAAAAGTACCTGTCTTTTTCTTATTATAGATTATCTTTTTTTTTTTTTTTTTATTACATTCTCCTCCCCATTCCCTACTCCCTTTAGTTTCACTCCCCCGTTTCTCCCGTAGCGGAGCGCTGGGTCGGTGCTCATCGCGCCGCGGACGACACCCGAGGTGTCCCCGTCCAGGACAGCCCCGGGCACCGCCGAGCGCCGCTTTCGCTCCGGTTCAGCCGACCTCGCTCCCAGGTCCCCGCAGATGAGCTCGTGGCTTTGCAATATAAAATCGTTCATGCTTTCCCCGCCGAGCAGCATCCAAATTCGTTTATTCTGATGAGAACCGCATCTCCAAGTCCCCCAAGGCTTGCTGATGGATTTTTCTGTATTACCTCCTTATCAAGCTTGGCTGACCTCTAACTTCTCTGAAAACATGAACAAGACAGACCTGCTGCTGCCCAGGCTGCCCCAGGGGGCTCTTTTTCCACTTATGTGATTTCCTTTGATATTATTTCTCCTTTCCCTATCCAAGGCTCAGACCTTTAGTGCTCCCTGCAGTTCAACTTTTTTTTTTTTTTTTTTTTTTTTTTTTCCTTGTTTTTGCCCGGCCCTTTGCGTGCAAAGATCCCACTTGCACAGCTATGCAGCCTGCTCCCCGGGAGCTCTCGGAGTGGGGAGACAAGTGGGATGGTGGGAGCCACATGTTGCAATGTGTGCAAAAATTACCATTTGGAGACCGCTGGAGTCCAGTGCCTATACCTATTCCCCGCCCCCCTCCCGTGCCCCCCCACTCCCTTCTCCAATGCTTGGATACTGGACACTTCTGTCTGACTCGTATTTTCAAATATGGGTGTCCTCAAATCCATTAAAAGAAAAAAAGAAAAAAAAAAAAAGAGGCCTGGATTTCAAAAGAAGCTTTTCTCATCTTTTCAATATTTTCCATGAACTTCTGGAGAGAAAATCTCTTTATCTTTCCTGTTCGTCTGCTCTCTTCCCCCTCACTCCCACACCTCCTTATGCATTTAGATGCTGTGATCCAAGTTGAGGAGTTTGGTTTTGGTTTCAGGGCTGCCTGACGCTCTCCATTCATAACTGATCCCAC